GGGTCCTCTCAGGCGGAGGGGCCGCGGAGCACCGTCCTGTGAGGCGGGGACGGGGCGCCCACCCAGGCAGCCTGCAGAGCAGCGCTGTTTCCCTGCTCTCCGCTGGCCTTTATAGGCCCAAGTGCACCGCGAAGACGTTCCGGATCGTAGCTGGTGCGCTTGTAGTGAAGCCGTGTGCGATCACCGTGGAAAAAAACGGTTAAGGATGATACGCATAACTTCATCTGCCGTTCACCCACGTGTTAGGTAGAGGCAGGTATGAAGAACGCGTGTAGAAGTAAAAATGTTAATACTCTCCCAGTAACAAATACCGGAGCTATCTTCTGCAACAAGGAGCAAGTGGCAGCTTGCCAAACACACGAGGTAAATGATGATGGCCTGCAGGAAAGGCGTGTGCTACTTCCACAGCAAACATTTACAACCTGTTAATATGTTGTGCGGCTTAAAGGACCGGGCAAAAATTCCTCTAGGCACTTTTAACTTTCTTGCCTATCTTTTCTTTTTAAGAGTAAAAAAAACGCCAAAAAATATGTAACTATTACTGCTAATACTTATGAATGTTGGTAGAAAACTGAGAGGAAAAAAGCAAAGGAAGAGGCATTTTTGCATTTGATAAACGTTTTTCTGTAGTTCAGTGGGATTTTGACACGCTGACTTCAGAGATACAATTTAACCCTTTATAGTTGCCATTAAATAGCCAGTTGACACATACAAAGCTTTGATACAGTTGCCTCCTATTCATGTTTCCAGAATAAATTAAAAATGCTGTAAAAGTTGCCTCACTGTCCAGACGATGAAATATTTTCCTTTATCATGTACCAGAAAAACAAAAGCAAATTAAGCAAGCAATTAGGAGGGGAAAAAAAAATTCTCCCTTGATATTTTATTTTAAAAAACCCAAACAAACCACCATTAACTGTAAGTATGACCTTTAAGGGATAAATTACATCCACTAAATGTAAGCATCTATGGATACTAAAGTATTTATAAACATTTTTATGAATTGTTTAGCTTTCTTTGGCAGAGCAATACTAATCCCTAAGCATTTTATATCTTCTTCCCTGAACAAATAAAGATGCACTTACAAGCCATTTTGGATTAACTCAAAGAGCTCCAGCCAAAGTGGTGACAGCGTTATAAACACAAGGAAATGGACATCTGCTTAGTAAAGGATACTCTATAGAGAAGCTGTCCTACGTATAGAGGCTGAAGGAAAAAAACTGTCTTCTAATTGAACATTATTTTTAACAACAATTTAGCAAATATATGTAACTAAAACTAGCAACTGTGACAGCAATACCAAAGTCTGGACAAAGAACTTTTTTTCATGTTGTCATCCTCCCATCTGCTCTTTAGAATATGCATATGTATTTGTTACCAAAAAAAAAAAAAAATCAGTTTTGAATGCCAATAGCTTTATATTGCCCCTAGCAGAGTATCCTAGTCAAGCAGCTTTATGGCAAAAGAAAAATTACAGATGTGGGAAGGCACCACTAGAGGGTTTGGAAAGAACTTTTGGAAGCTTAAAGCCAGGGATCAAACTGAAGTTTAACTGCTGCACAAGAACACAAGCTGGAATAACATTTTTGAATAACAGAACTAAAATTTGTGCATGTTTAAGCGCTTCCACCATGTAGTAGAATAAACTTCAGTTTCTCACCAATGCAGTGGAAAAATGAATACAGCAGTAGTTTTATTGTTTTTATAAAAATGGGTGTTAGAATTATGTGAATACAGGCAATAAAATGGCGTGTATCTGTTGTATTACTGGACAGCACAAAAAGATGCCCTAGCTTTTCTTGGAAAAAGAAGTGTGCTGTAAACAAGGCTTTTGGTAGCTCTAGGAATTTTAATACAATTTTAGGCTCTACATGCTTTTCTGTTATCTGGCTTGGTACACATATGTTATTCTTCCCCTGCACCATTATCTGAACAAACAGGAATATAAAATAACTCAGATTTTTACATTCTGCAGTAATAAGCTATTTTTTGTCTCTGGCTGTTCCTCTAATCCTGTGAAGCAATACTGCTGTTTTCTTCACCTCTATGTGAAATGACACATCATAGCATTAAACCTAAAAATTACTGGAAATATGAACCCTCATAGGGACAACTTGGTAACCCTACATTGTGATTAAAATTATGATTCTTTTATTATTTAAAAAAAAAAGGAAAGTAATGCTTCTTTTGTATGAAGGAAGAGATTATTAGGATCTAGGCTTTCAGCTGGTTTTTTTCCCTTTTTTAAACCAATTTCTGCTGAAGCCTTATGAAGATGAGAAGAAAACTCAAACATTACTATCAATGTAGGTGCAAAAATGACCTCTTCCAAAGTGTTCAAAATGCTTATGGAAGTCAGTCCTCCAGGTTCATAAACAGAAACAGCAAAAATGTGGGTCTCTGAAGTAAACTTTGTGCCTTTAGTTTTGAAATATAACTTGGAAGAATCCCATGAGGGAAAAAACTTGAGATGATGATTGTTGTGAAAACTTATTAAGAAATACATTTTAGTGGAAAGGATTTCTGTCTTCAGGAACAATAAATATTTGAGAATCTTATAATGAGAGTACAATTTATGCATTCAGCGAAACTGAAGCCGGATTGGGTGATCACCAGGGATCAGACATGTATGGTTTTGTTCCAAACAGCAGAAGCTCTGTATACTGGACAGGTACGGTAAAGTCTGCTGACTCTTCTTTGTGCTATATATTAGGTAATTTGAAGCAGGCAGAAAATATTTGTGCTATATACTAGGTAATCTGAAGCAGGTAGAGACAGCTGGATAAAATGAAACACACAAGTAGTTGGTATTCCATCATGAGAATTTACTAGGATGAAACTTCATGTAAACTATGTTTCCATTAATAATTCCAAATTTTTTAGAAAAAAAAAATTCTGAATAAACATTCTCAGATTTCTATTTAATAAAGATTTATATTCTATAGTTAAAAACCTATAGAGAGAAGCATCAGATTGAAATAATGCTGTTGGGTAAAACAAGTTATAATATCAGATATTGTTCTTCAGGAAGATTAACTGTTACTGAAAATGGTGAACAAGCAAAAATTGAAGTTGCTTCCAAAACATTTTTTCTTGTGTGAAATCCAAAGAAGTCAGGGAATCTCAGATTTTCTTTTTTGCCGTATAAACTGAATTTTGCCAATTTTTCTCATCCTCAAAAACCCAGATGAGATCTTTTGGGAAGTTATTCTGAAGAATAGTGTAGACGCTTACTGGAAAAAAAAGCATCATGGCAAACTGATGTGATGCAAGGTGAAGAAAACATAGAAAGACACTGACTCAAATGGAAGCTACTGAATTCGAAAAAGCAAAAAAGGAATCCAGTAAAAAAGGGGAACAAACACATATGGCTAAGAATGGGTATAAAGGAATACTGCAAGCAAAAAGTCTTAATTAAAGTTTGAAGAAGGCAACAAACCTACAAAGCAGGATATGAAAACAATAAATACTATCCAAATGAGATAATCTAATGCTACAATTCTATGCTATAGGATACTTTTAGAAAAGCCAGAGTAATCTCTGTGCCATAAGTAAGTATCTTGAAGAGTTCCTGATACATCGCCTAGCAGCAGAGTTTATGTCTTGATTTTAACAAGACTGTTTTGTTCCTATTATAATAGTGGCATGCTAATTTCATACCACTCGGTTTCTTTATCAAAATACTGTGTGGGGCCTCTTTATCAGAACTTTCCATTGATGTTGCAGATAAATGCTATCAAATTAATGCTACAAGATCTTCCTTCTATTTTCCTTTTTGATGGGCACAGTATCACTTAACTTTAGTTCTGATTAATCAAACTTCCATATCAACTAATGAATTACTCTGCCCAGGATCAATGCTAGGCTGCCAGGCCTACAATTATGTGTTTGTCATCATAAATGCTACTACAAGATTAATTTTTTTTCTAATGTGCTTCTCCAGTGTATTGATATTGATGGTACAGGGTACTCCTCTACAAATTCTATATCCAGCTCATTTGCAGAATACACACCAAGACATAAAGGAAAGCAGAATAAGATGCAGCATAGGGTAAAGTGGTAGCTGGCAAACGTCATATTAATTCAATCAGGTTTTTTATTTATTTTGAATTTTCATTTCAGTTTGTAGTACAGTTGTGTGCTGCTTCAGATACTGTGAAGCCAGACAGGGAAGTAAATGGACCAATGGAGTCCAAGATTGAGAACAAAGGGCTTGAAAAAATGTTAAAATATTAATAGTATTGGTTGTAATGGAGGGAGCCAACATACAATATGGCCGTTTGTACTAGGTGTTACTGAAACTCAGGAGTGAGGCGTTCACAAGAAAGTCTATATAAACAAACGCAGTAATTAGAAGAGGAATACAATAAATGCAAAAAATCACCCACATTTACTGTAGTTTGATATTATTAGTATCCAAAGGGGTCATAGAGTCATACTCTATACCCCCAGTTTAAGGAAACAAGCTTTTACAGTGTCTTATGCTGCCCTCCAGTCACTGTTACAGCCTGTGGGTGTTTTGAGGTCTCTAGAAGTAAAGACTCAAAGTAAGTAAATTGTCATTTCAAAGCTTGGCTTACCATATGGTTGTAAAACATTGATTTTGTTATTCCTTTTTGTATCATTTGGTCATTCTGAATTTTCATCCCGACTAACCTAACGATACAGCTGGAGAACACACACCATCAGTGGTGAAGAGCAACATGAGTCCATGGCCAGAAATTGTTTTTCCTCAGAGTGGTCCATTGTGTCCAAGTGCAGGAATGGAGGGAATTTGGAAAGAAGATACAACAGAACAGTACACTCTGTTGTCAAGATAGGAGTTCTTTTTCCAATTCTGCTGTGCAGCACTGAGCAAACAACTTTTCCTTTTGTGCCGTTGCCCTTCTGACTTTCCATTTCTCTGGATAGTTGAGATGAGGTTGTTTTCACTTCTTAAGGAAAGGAAGCTTATGCAGCCTATTGGCTAAATTCGTTCTCTCCTCTTCCCTGCTTGCAATACTAGCCTTACAACGGCCTACAATTTTTGTGAAAATTGGCAGCTGAAGAGAGGAGAAAGGACCCTCAGTCCCACTAAGTGAAAGGTTGGCTATTTAAAGCCAAAAGAAAAAAAACCTCCTGGTAAATGCCTAGTTAAATCAGCAGGCATGTACCAGCACACTGATCAGCACACAGCTAAGGACAAACAACAGCTGCCTCTTCCAAAACTGGTGGTTACATAAAAATTATTGGAAACATAAAGGAATGGTAGGAGGAACGATGTGGGAACCAGGTGTTACTGTGATAAAGGGATACAGGACACAAGCCTGTAGAAAATCAGCTTTTTCAGTTCCATGGATCAGGCTTGCGTAATCGTGGAACCA